CCAAGATAGCAAAATTAGAAATGAATTTACTGGGAGTTCAAGATACATGAAACTTTACTGACAATGTTCACAGTATTTCTGACAGGCTGCTTAATCTTAAACTGGCAAATATTCATATTAGCTATTCTGGTATAGCAAATAGCTTTGGGGGGGGGGAATAGCTAACAAATAATACCATCTTCCACACAATCTTGCTCTCTCTCTCCTCTCTCTCTCCTCTCTCTCTCTAGGACTACTTATCTGTTCCCAGTTAATATAATGAATATCTGATAATGATAATTATTTTATTAATGTCTTAGACTAGAATATAACCTAAGATACACATTATTTACTTTATAAGTGGCATACAGAAGTGCCATAAAGTCTTCAGTGTTGTAAAAACAGCATATAAGAATTATAAATTTTAAAATAAAAAATAGAATTTAAAAGAAGCAAGAAAAATTGGGAGAACAATCCCAAATGCATCCCTATGAAAAAAGCCATTAGCTAGCTGCTCCGAATGTTGCGAACTAGCCCAATCAAAGACCTCTCCCATTTCCTCCCAAGTCAAATGATTCAGAGTATATACATACATATACATACAGATACACACACCCTTTCTATGCTTAGCCTAAGTTGATGTGAATCCCAATTTAGCCCTACTATGGGAATAATTTCTAAGAATGCATTTTTTTTAAAAAAATAGAATAATTATTTGCACAGAGATTATTACATGCACAAAATAGGCATTACATTTCATAACCTACTCCATATTATGATACTTTTTTCTTGCTTTCCCAATTTCTTTATAAACTTAAGCATTTATGTATTTTCTTTTGTTGAATATTACATTATCAAATTCCTCCTTCCATCTTGCTTTACTTTAAGCTATTAGGTTGTCTTCAAAGGAAATTAACACAAGAGAGCCAATATTAACTGAGGTTTAAAACGGATGGCCTAATATTACAACATGCAGATTCAAGGAACTTCCTTAATGGGAAAATATCACACAGATGAAGATGCCTTACCTGTATGCACTGACTGTAAGGACCAATATTGGCAGGAGCCCAATGAGAAATACTCTGTACATGCATCGCCTGCTTCTGGGAACCAGGTGCATCAGAGATCATCTTATCATCCTTTTGGGCAAGGCAGTCCATCTGAAATAGCAGGCCTTCCTTCAATGGAGCTTCAACACAAACCCTGAAATAACAAAAAAAAATGTACTGGCAGCATTTGAATGACATTAAACTGTCTCTGAGTTCTGGTTGCTGTACTCTTAATATTCCTAAAATTTATACCAGCAGGGCAGAGATGGGTGATGAGAATGAGCAAGAATTCTTGAAATCCCAGTCAAGAATGTCACTTGTTCCTTGCTACTTTCCCAGTTTCTGTTCAGAGTAATCTCCACTGTCACTGAGAGAAAGAATAGGCAAATGGAGAACCTTGTATCCTTTCTTTGGTTTTGGTACTAATTAATAGCTTAGGAGAAAACAAATTAATAGGCAGGAACAATAAGAAGCAGAGTTGCAGGTCACAGACAGGGATGGTAACCTTAGAAGTTATCAAATGTTGCCCAACCCTGACCCTGACTGATATCAACCATTAACTTCATTTCACACTCAAGTACTTTTGTGCAGCAAAATTCACAAAAAGATTAAAAGTAGATTTATTCCTTCCATTTGTTGAGGCAAGTGAGGTCACAATATCTGCTAATTTCTTCTTCCACTACAGCCCTCAGTTTCCCTGATATTCCCGAGAGCCCGCTAATTCTCTAGAACAGCTTTTCATGGAGCCACTGAAACAATATGGAATTTGGCAAAATCTGCCTATAAAATAGCCAATTAGGAATATTAGTCCATGTAATTCTGGACCTTATTTACTGATTATGAATCTAGTGTTTCCCATGATTATTTTCAGAATCCTTTTCATTGTACAGTGCTTTTTTATATGTCTTTATTTCATAGCTAGAAAAGGTCTTGCTAAATAAACTCCACCAACTGAATGTTTTTCCCTCATTTCCTTTATAATATAGGAGAAACAGAAAAAGAAGAAAACAGTGAAAAGAAGGGCTAGGGGTGACATGATAGCACTGTTCCAATATTTGAGGGGCTGCCACAAAGAAGAGGGGGTCAACCTATTCTCCAAAGCACCTGAAAACAGGACAAGAAGCAATGGGTGGAAACTAATCAAGGAGAGAAGCAACCTAGAACTAAGGAGAAATTTTCTGTCAGTGAGAACAATTAATCCTTAGAATCACTTGCCTCCAGAAGTTGTGGGTGCTCCAACACTGAAGATTTTTGAGAAGAGATTGGACAACAATTTGTCTGAAATGGTATAGGGTTTTCTAGTCCAACCTCCCTGAGCAGGGGGTTGGACTACAAGACCTCTGATATCCCGTCCAACTCTACTATTCTGTTGTTGTTATTATTAGTAGTAGTATTTTAGAAAGGCCAGAATGAGGATCCATACAAAGTTTTTCTCAACTGTTGTTTCATAGTACAAGGTCTACCAGGTTATACTAAAATGTATACTTTATATAGGTTCAATAAATAGAGGTGTAAAACTTAAATTCATATTTTTGCTGACTTCTTCTCAATCAATTGTACATTAGGATAACACATAGATTTTGTGTAAATTATGGGGCATGGTATTAGTAAGAAACACTGGCTATTTATCTCATAGAAATCTACAATGCAATGAGTTTCACAAAGATCCAATTACTAGAAAAGCTATTACTAAGTAAAGAGAAATATATCTTACTAAATGGAATAAGTAATAAAGCCCTCATCTGGAAAAAAATATATCCCAAAGAGATTTCTTCTTTAAAAAGATTTTATGTAGCATTAAAAATATTTTAATTGTACAGTTCTTATTTCATTAGCTTTATATATTAAAATGCTTATTAAGAAAGCAGGAATGAAATATATTTAAAGACGATTTTAAATTAAGAGGAATAAGAACACTGCTGTGCTGAATTCCCTGTTAAAGTTCAAGATGGCATATTCAGTAGAACAATATGCCTAAAAATATTTTTTAAACCATATAAAACCAATATTAGCTATGAGGAAAAAAACACTCATAAGGAGACAGCACTATTTTCAGCTCTATAAAATAGGGTGCAACATTTGAATTTATGAGCTCTTAGGTCACAAGCTAAAAAGAAGATAAAGAAGAAAAAGTAGAGAGGAAAAATTAGGCTAGGATTTAAATTATAGATCTTGGTAGGAATGAAAAATATAAACTAAAATCAGCTCATACTGGCCACAAACTACTCCCACATCCTAAGATTGTTAGTTACTACAGACACAGCTTAAAATACTAAGAACTCTTCCCTACCCCACCCCGTACCCTAATTTTTAAGCATCTTTCCTGATGAAAGCTTCTGGGATCTTCAAGGATCGAACACAAATGTATAAATCCAGAATTAGCCTAATAAAAGTATTGTGTTAAAACTGCTCCAGAAAAAGTAGAAAGAACTTTATTCTAAGAAATATACCCATATGATTGTAGTGATTTTAATTAATTCAGTTGCTGTATTAATGGCATTAATTTTCAATTTGTTTTTTATTCTATTTTTTAAGTTGAAAACTGTCTTGTGTGTTTGCATAAACAAAATTGTGAGGTATAACTCCATAAACGAAAAAATAAATTTCAAAAGAACACTGTCCAGGATACTTGCTGTTCAGCAAAAGTAAAAAGTCTGTAAAAGCTATCTCTTAATAACACTGCATAAAATTGCAGGGGAAGAGCCTTTCTCATACGATGTTTTTCATTTTCAGTTTTTCCCTATTCACAGAATGTGATATAACATTAAAGAAGCTGTACGTTGAAAAGAAAGCACCTCACTTCACATTCCTTCTTTAAGACAACACATTTCTGTAGCATCCTTGTTTGTTTACTAAAGATCAAGAAGGATACACATGAATGAGTTTGTTCAATTTGTTAATGACATGTCCCTACTACAGTATACTGGAATTATCTGATAATGGCAGGTTATAAGAATAGTCGATTAAAAAAGGAAACCTTTCAATTTTAACAAAATCAGTCAGGCACAAAGAAGAGTATTTATTTATTTAAATTTATATGCCATCTCATCTCATTCAAGTGCTTTCGGAGATAGCAATCTTGGCAGAGAACAATATGGTTTCCAAGTTGACCTCTCTCATTCACACACAGACTTAGCTGTCATTATTTAGAACTATAATCTTTTACTGAGTATTAGCTCTCTACGTTGCTCTTAATTTTCAATCTGCACATCTTATCTTCTCTCCTGTAATTGAACATGCCTATTTTATTAATTTAGCAAAATCTGTGCCTGATTCTTATCATGTCAGTCTCTTCTAAGCTGCTTTACTCTTAACTCTGCTTATACAAGGGACAAAAAATAATGGAGCTTTTGCCAAATTAGAATGGAAAAGAAGCAGGAACACAATAATACAGTATTGCAGGCTAACTCTGCCCACAGCCTGGAGTTCGATCCTGACAAAGCTTGACGTTGACTCAGACTTCCTTACTTCCAAGGTCAATAAAATGAGGACTCAGATTGTTGGGGGCAATATGCTGACATTGTAAATCGTCCAGAGAGTGCTATAAAACACTGTGGGGCAGTATATAAGTCTAAGTACTATTGTTATAATTCATAGGGAGCTGATAGATCAATTTGCCTAAACATTTTAGAAAAAGTTACTGTTAGATCGCACATGTTAGCTAACTAACTGATAATTATTTCAGAATTATACTTCTATAAAGTAGGCTTGGGGAACATAATTCACTGTTGAAGAGCATGGACTCATTATGAAGCAAGGTACTGCATTAAAAGATATATGATGAATCTAGGATAATAGAATACAAAATAGATTCAGTATAAAAAAGTGTTTTTTTAAATCAGAGATTCACATGCATTCCTGATGCAGCTGCTACAATAGAGAATAAAAGATCATGCCTTTGAAGAGAGACATACAAAGAGGTGAAAGGAAGCCCAATCCAAACACAGAGAAACTAAGTCTGAAGAAAAGTCATAAATAAAGCATTAGTAGCAATGAAGTATATTCCAGTGTACCATAAATATAAGACAGCAGTAGTATGAACCTACCTCGCTGGAGGACACAAATCAAATGCTGTCATATAGACTGAATTTATCACAGCAAAATCGGCCATACTCTTCATATACAGATGGACCAAAATAATATCTGTCAATGCCAATCCTTTTAAATTCATATGAGCTGCATGTGGAAAAATAATGCATCTGTTAAAGACAGGAAATATTTGATTTGTACTAAAGGATATACAGTATATATTGCAAAGAACTCCCCTTGAACCAAAGCATAACTGAAGCTGAAGAACTTAGACAAATAGAAACTATTCTGATGAGTACAATTTCTTATATAGCATATGGGCAGATACGTTGAGTTTATTTCCTAAACCAACTTGATTTTGTTTGATCTTGTACAATAAACTAGTAAAAATGAAGACATGTTAAATTCCAGTGCAGCTGCCTTAAAGCAGATGAAGCTATTATAGTCTTAATCAAATCTACTTCCTAATGAAATATACAATCTACTAAGCATTTACTAGGAAATCATCAAGTTATCACATAATTTTAATATTTGATTTTGTATCATTATATATATAGAACAGAACAGAATAGAGCAGAGCAGAACAGAACAGAATAGAATAATAACTTTATTGTTACTTTGAATGTACATTAATCAGCATACATTAAAATGAAATTTCATTGCATATAGCTCTCAGGGTCACCACTTCCAATATACATTACATAAATACGACAATATATATAGATTTTATATATCTTTTAACATTGTAAATAGTTGTTTTTATTGTTTTTAAATATCTTTTTAGCAATAAACAACTGGTTTATACCTCTCCCGGAGATCAAAGGCTGTGTTATTGAATAACACACACACACAAACACACACACACAATTATGCATATATCCACATATATTATATGATACAGAGAAACAGCACAGTCTGGCGAGAAAAACGAATCTTGCGAATTTACCAGGCGGATGGTATAGGGAAGCTATTACAGAACTGGGTAGTCCTGCTAGAAATACTTTGAAACCTCCTCCAAGAGGGGAGCAACAGAAACAGACCATAAAGTTAGTGTGTGGGGTCTCTAACAATGCTTTGAGCTCTAAGCACATAGCACTTATAAGCAGCATCCAGAATAATGGGAAGCAAGCTTCCTATGATCTTCTCAGTTGTCCTTACCACTCTCTGTATGGACTTTCTATCTGAGGCACTGCTGCCACCAAACCAGACAACGATGCAGTTTGTTAAAATGGTCTCAATCATGGCTCTGTAAAAAGTGGCCAGGACAGAAGGAAAAAGATGTGCTCTCCTCATCTGACGCAGGAAATGCAGACGTTTGTTTGCATGCTTCACTAAGGATGACATGTGGAGAGACCAATTCAGATTGTTAGTTATCTGCACCCCCAGATACTTAATAGTGTTGACCATCTTTACAACTGCATCCTTGATACTGAGTGGAGTATGACTGTGCCAGCTCTTTCTAAAATCTACAATGATCTCCTTTGTTTTATCAACATTTAGAACCAGGTTACTTTTATTGCACCATTCCACCAGAGCCTTCACCTCTTCCCTAAAAGCATCTTCATTGTCATTCCAGGTAAGACCCACCACTGCTGTGTCATCTGCATACTTCACAATATGAAAGATGATATTGGCAGATTTGGCATAGCAGTCGTGGGTCATCAAGGTGAACAGTAGCAGACTCAGGAGACAGCCATGTGGGGAACCCTTACTGAAGCAGATGGAGTTGGAAACTTTCTTTCCAACTTGCACAAACTGGGGCCTATCAATAAGGAAATCAAGTATCCAAGGAGTATTAAAACCGAATAGCCCCAGTTTGTTCACCAGATGCTGAGGAATGGTTGTGTTGAACGTTGAACTAAAGTCAACAAACAGCATTCACACATGAGTATTCTTCCCCTGCAGGTGTGCCAAGCTAAGATGAAGCACACAGGAAAGTGCATCTTCTACAGAGCTGTTCTTCCGACAGGCAAACTATAATGAGTCAAATGTAGAGGGAAGACATGATACCATATAGTCCTTTATATATCTTAAAATTATTTGTGACTGAAGGTCAACAATGAGGGACACATTTTGCCATATGGCAACATTTCTTTCTCTCCTGCTTAAAGCTTTATATCTTGTGAAATATTTTGCCAATATTTTGCTAAGATTTATTTATTTAAAAATTATTCAACAATTATCTTTTGAACAATTACCTTTTAAATTAAACTTCCCACAAAAATCTGGGGATATGGCTATAATAATAATGTGTTGGATGAGATCCCATCACTCATTAAGGAAGTATTCCTTCCTGTCACTCATGAAGGAAGTATTCCTATAATCTTCCATTGAGAGAAGTCTTACTGGTTGACTACTCTTTAAACATCAACCTTTCTAAAACCTTTTCCAGAAGACTGAAGTATCTTCCACAAAATGTGGCAGGTTTTGTGGGGACTTCTGAAAAGAGAGAAGTAACAGAAACCATTCTCCTCCTTTTAATGTAGATTTTCATCAGACTGAAAGCTCTTCAATTTGAAGGCATTTCTTTAAAGATTAATAAAGGATTAAGGTCTATTATTTCTCAGTCAGGAACCTGAATATTCAAGAGCCATATGTTCATCATAAAGACTGCCCAGAAAATATGACTATTTCACCTGGCCCATGACAGAATTGGAGAGAAAATTGCTTGTGTCTGCCTACTTGATGGATTACTTTTTTGAATGTTGGAAGAACTTTATGAATAAATCTGCTTTAAAAAGTAGAGGGCAGCCCAGCAAGGAACAAGTTACAAACTAAATCTTGTAGTCTTAAGGTAGAAAGTCAGAACTACAATGTATGTCTTGCAGTTCACAACCAATTTCCACTTTAGGCCATTAAAACAATTAATCTTGCTATAAGGTTTTTGTTACCTCCATTCTTATGCCACAGTATGTAATAAAACAGGGAAAAAGGCAGTCAGACAATCTGACTTTTGTAAGGAAAGGTTTTAACACATTCCTGAAGAGTTTCAACTAAGTTTAGCAAAGAAACCTGGGGTAATACTTTTAGATTGTTAGCACCATAACTCATCTCTTTTTTAGAAGGCAAAATAAATATACACAGGAAATGCAAGTATTCCCTGGATCAAAATGTATCAGTGCACCAGAAATGGGAAAGAATAGTTTAGATGTAAATCATCTGCTAAAGCCACCAGGCTTCTTAGCCTCCAGCCAGATACAACTACTATTTTGGTTTAATTCTAATAAAAAAAAAATCAGGCAATGATGTATATTATTTGGACTAGCTAGGGTCATGAAAATATTACAAAAATCAAGTAAGTGTTTTAGAGGTCCAGTCTTTCAATTTACATAATATGCCCAAAAGATTTATTCATAACATTACTCCTTTAGCTACAAGCCTGATTACAACCTCTGTGCTGATTTCTAGGCTGTTAGGAACTAGCTTAAGGGCCCTTTAGGAAACCTGCTGCCTTTTTATTTTGCAAAATTGTTCATGCTTCCTTTATCATTCTGTATTCAGTCATGAATTCAGATGCAGAAGCCAAATGTTAAGATTTTATGAGCCAATACATCAAAAGTATGTACGAACAAGAATACTAGCCAGCCCACTGCAGCCGCTGAGAACAATTTCCATTTTTATGAATGAAAAAGATGCCTGCATAAATATTTATTTATTTAAAAGTGCAAAAATATGGAGGGATTCAGAAGAAAATAGAAGCATTTTGTTTTATATCTCAATATCTTGTAAGGGTTTGATAGTAAGAAATCCAGCAACCACAATTCCCAAGACATCAATTCTTTGCTTGCGTTAAGTACATAAATGAGATTTAGAGCTACTGATCTAATCCTAGATGCCAAAATCAACCACAGCAACAGCTTTTTAGAGAACCTAATTTAAAATTATGATAAAGTCAGTTTAGCTAACAGAAAGCAGTCACAATGGGGAATGCACACACAAAAAGATAAAAGGAATGAAAACAAACTCAGCTGCCTTGTATAACCAGATCAAGGGAGAACATAAAAGGAATCCAGTCTAATCACAAAGGTAAAAATGGATGGATTTAGACTGCAAATTTCTGTGACCAAATGTAGCAATTCTTGTACAGTAATCTTCCAAGCAATAACCCTTTGATGGACAATCTAATAATCCTCTATCAGTTGGTCTTGGCACTTAGTAGAGCATTCAAAATGAAAGTCACCTATTCTTATTTATTTGTCAAATGTACATGCAGCGTATCGGGACTTTTTCCCCATTGCCGGCAATGGGGTGGGCGCGGTTTCAGCGTGACGCATCCGGCCTGTGGGCCGGCAGTTTGACATGCCTGTTCTAGAAAATCAACAGGCAGGGATGGAACCAGTCTCACTTCATGAGTTGGGAGGATATTTCATAAAGTGGACACATACAATCTATTTCATCCAAAGCTGCCACACAAACATCTTCTCAACCACCTTTGCCCCAAAAGGTAGGTTAGATACCGAACAAATATTTTCCAATATACTGTGGTCCATGATGGCTCCAAGGCCTCCTTAAAACATAAAGGAACAATTCCCTAACTCAAAGAAGAATTCATTACTGTTGGAATCCACTCAAACACCACCACCCAGGCCCAACTTCCTTAGGCCCAACAGGTTCAAACTGTTCCCATATAATTGGGCAAGTTCCTCCCCAGGCATCCCCCCCTGGACCTGCAACAAGGCCAGCAACCAATTGTGAGTGAATTTGAATGACTTTTTCTGGCAAAATATTGTTCCCTACTATTGTTCTCCAAGCTCCCTCCTACTCAAAAAGGTGCATCTCAACTGAAACAAGATGCCTATTAACAGATGCAGTAAGGTTGGATAAATATTGGTGTTTCATCTACCTTATTTCATAGCATCTGTAACCTATTTTTGGTTAAGTTCACTCCCAGTAAAAAGCTTGCGTCACTCTACATAGCTCTTCTCTCATTTAGCTCCCTTAACTCTTTTGTGAACCATGGAGAGTGATGGGATCCACAAAAGGAGAGAAATCCCATAGATTTACCTAGTTTCTGGACCTAGTCAATAATACATGCCTTGGTAATACATGCCAGGTCAGCTCTCTCATCAATGATTAAATTGCAGATGAGGGATGTTTAAAACAAGAAATGGGATGGCTAAAAACTGACCATGAAGCTAACTACCCGTGTTGGCTGCCTAAATTCTCAGAAGAAACAAAATGCTTTCTACTGGCTGGAGAGCAACAAGAGGAAAGGGAATTGCCTGGTGATATTTCAGCTCAGAGCAAATCGCAACATTTATTCTTCAGAGCATTTTAGCCTTCTTTACTTCATGCAAACTAAAAATGCTTTAAAGATTTCACTAAACACATTTAATTGATTGAATGCACGAATTACTAATTATTAAGCCCTAATTAAACTGTATCTCTTCTGCAGCTTATACTACACTTCAAAATGCCCAAGAAAAGCACCTTGGAGTGAGGAAAAGACGTTGTTTGCCAGTTCTTGTATGCTTTTTCCTTCCGATGGATCAACGTATGTGCTGATGCCTGTTATCCACTGGTAACCCTTCAGAGACTTTCCAGAAAATTCAAGAGCTTTACCTATAAAAGATTGAAATATAAGGACATAATGAGAGAGCCGATTTGGTGTAATGATTAAGGTACCAGATCAGAAACCCCAGAAGATTGAATTTTAGTCCTGCCTTAGGCACAAAGCCAGCTGGGTGACCTTGGGCCACTCACAGTCTCGGAGCCCCAAGGAGCAGGCTATGATATATAATTTTCCTGCCTGAGCAGGGGGTTGGACTAGAAGACCTCCAAAGTCCCTTCCAACTTTATTATTCTTATTATTTCCAAAACTTTGTCAAAAAAACTGCAAAGACATGTCCATATATATACACATACACATACAGGTTTATTGCAAAGATTCTGATTATTTTCTTTTTCTTGTTCAAATCAAAAAGAGTGTACAAATAATAAATATTGGATCTAGGGTTTTATTCAATGAGTACTCAATGAGTATCCCCAAATGCTCTCAATATTCTCTCATGAAAAATAAAACAGAGTGAAGCCCATTTCTATGTCTTTTCTCTCTTCCAGACCCTTAATGCCTTTAAATAGCCCAGAAAACAGTCCAGAAAGATAATATCTTTCCCACTGAACTATTAACAGGAGGAGCTTTTTTCTTCATGATAGAATTTGCTGGATATCACCCACCATTATTTTATAATGTTTCCACTTCTTGAAGTATAGTATTATAATAATTATAGGATATGTATCTCCAATGCAAAAACTTGATGTAATGGGCAAATGAAGCTTTGGACACTGATGGATACATGACATGGGAAGTAATTTTACAGAACAAATGTTCCAGTTATGGATTTGGATTCAGTTATGTCCTAGGCTGAAATAAAAAGGGTTCCATTTGTTCAAAGTAGGTCCAGATTGCCCTTTTCATCTGTGGTATTATTCTATTCAGACTGGGGATAACCTAACCCTGAATAACAGATTTTGCAAAGGGAGAAACAAAAACATGAAACAGGAAGGAAGGAATAAGAAAGACTCACTTGAAGCTGATTTGATCTCATCCACAGTGCATCACTTCAAACTATGATACATACTGATCATATTAATGAGTGCATGATTAGTATAAAACAATAGTTCAAGGAAGTGAAAAAAATGTTTAAATTAAAAACCATAGATTATGATATGCCAAAAAGAGCTCTCCATAATGCTACTGACTATGTGCAGTCTCTTTTGGCCTGGATGTATGAATGGATGGAAGAAAGGTTTTTCTTCTGTGCCAGTTCTTCATTTAAGTGAGTGGGAATTTTCAGAATGGACAGCATGATTTTTTTTTTTGGGAATGTTTGTCACACAGCTACATAAGTATCACCATCCTACAGCTCAAATTTAAGGAGGCATGATCCATATCAATCAGAAGATCAATAATGGCTGCTGTAGCTTATTAACTCCAATGAGAATATATGTATGCATTTTCTATCCCTATTTCTAGTCAATGGTGAGAGTAATGAACACCACCCAACTTCTGGAACATCCTAAGAGTGGGAGACCTATAAATCTTGTGGGAATCTTATATTCTAATTAAATCAGGATGCAAGTGACAGTAATAAATATAAAGAAAGATCTACTATAAATCCAATCTAAGGGGTGAACTATGTTTCAAATACAAAGTTACTGAGAATATCAAATACTGAATGCTATGTTGATGCTGTTAAAAATAGTAAAACTTTCCTCTCAATGAGATAAATTATACAATCAGAAATCAGAAAATTGTTACCAAATGTCATAGTGGTTAAGGCAAGCCAAAAACTTACTTTCTTGTGCAAGATTTGATCTTAAAAACTGCCACGTAATGCAAGGGGTTTCCTTTATCTCATCTGAAGGTGACCAGGCACTGTCTTCAATTTCTTCTGTGTCACATGAACATTTCCCAGGCAGAATTTTGCCCCCAAACTGTGCCTGATTAAAAGAAATATTGCAACACGGTTATCTACAAATTCTAATTCTTGGATAAAAAGCTCGTCAGTGATCAAGAGTAGGTCCCTCCTGTTTTAGTGAGAAAGCAAAAAGTTGTTACTTATTACTGAGAATGTGTTTCCAGGCAGAGTCACGAGCATACTTTCTTGGAGATCAATGATCTCCACAGACATAAAACTGAATTGCAACCTAAATGAACAGCACTATGTAATGATTTAATTTACTTAGTACAATTAACAGGGAATCATTATATAGATAAAACAATGCAAATCAATAGTACACATGGAAACATTCATCATGTTAATGGTAACGGAGACAAGAAAATGCTTTAAATGCAACCTTAAACTTTCAACAATATATATCTATTTAACTTTTTAAAAACAAATAAAAAAGACAAATAAGTTTTCAAAGTGAATTCAACAAGTTCCTGCCACTGTCTGCTGCCCTCTTCTGGTGTGGATCAGGTATTTCTTTCTCCATCTTTCTGGTAGAAAAGCAATTATTGCTAGAACTATAGTATTTTACTCACAAAAAGCATTTAACATAATCCACAGTATTAGCAAACAAAAGACAGAATGCTGGAAAGCTTCTGGTGAGCTACGTATTGTCTGCCACAGGCCATTTCCTTTGAAACTATACTGATCTTGATGAATCCTTGTCTGATCCACAAAAACACATTCATAGTATAACACAAATTAACGTTTTTGGAACTAAGGACAGTTTCAGTGTTCACTTTACTTTGAAATGATATGTAGTTTACAGATGTTATGTATGAGAAAAGCAGTGGCTATTAGCATTTTTTCAAAGACATATTCAAAGGCCCACAATACTATATATTTGTCCATAAGACAAATCACTATTTTCTGATGGTAAGACTAGGATTCCAATATGGATCTAGAGGATAAATTGGAGACGATTCTGACATATACCAAAAACTGATAATACAGAATTGTTTTGGAGAACTTTGGTATAAAAACACAGTGGACACAGGCCTTAGATTGGATAGGTTGTAATTTTTATTAGGACTTTATATATTTTATTTATTCTGCTTTATTCAGTTTTTATGTTTCATTTTGTTAAATATGGGGACCCTAGTATACAATTACAGCAATAGGCAAATCAATAATAAAAATGAATTCAAATTCCTGAAACTAGCGTCCCATTTTTTAAAAAAATATATATAATTCAGAAAAAAATCAATTACTATCTGAGGATGGCCAATATATTCACCCCTTAGCTCTGAAACATGGTCAGTTATTCAAATTCAATAAAATAACTCTTATTTCATTTAGACATTTATCCTAGCTATGAGATAATCAATTGGCTGGGCTGAAATTACTAGTAAGGAGTAGTTTAAGTGTAGGTAACCATTCATGGGTACATTTTTACAGCCAGTTTGGTGTAGTGCCTATATTTATGAGTTTATTTAACAAATTTATATGCCGTTCCTCTAACAGTTCAAGGTGACTCTGAGTGGCTGACAGTATAATCAATGCTATACTTTTTTAAAATGGATATAAAAACAATTATAACAGATTAAAATTACGAAAGGTTGAAACAAACTTAAAAAACATGGCTTTTTTTAAATTGTTGGACTAGGATTGGGAAAACAGAAATCTAGAAAGTAAGATCTTTAATAAAGCTGTTTTGTAATAACTTCATACAAGCAAATATAACTGTGGGGATTTTGTTCTTAGGGCTGAGAAAATGGCAATGTTTCTTTCATAAAGAGTTAACACCAACCTTCCCCAGGCTTACACAGATTTACCTGCTTGATAGAAAAGAAGTCACAACCATGCAGAGGCAACCCACAACATTTTACAACAGTTTCCTATTTTACTAGTCCAATTCCTACTTTCCTTGACCCAAGTCTTTGACACATAATTCAAAATGTGAAAGAGGATAACACATGATTTACTATTCTTCTAGGAATCCTACTTTGCATCACGAAGAGAATTGGGGTGAGGGGAAGCCATAAAATAAATATAATTTGCCGTTTATTTTTCTTCTTTTATCCAGAAATACAGAGAGAGACTGAAAGAACTTTCTTAACTTTCAGGCCTGTTCCATCAAAACAGAAAAAGTTGTTCAACATATAAGCAGGCATAGTTGCAAGATAGTTCACAACTGAACCCCTGTAAACTTGCTACCTGTCTCATATTTCACTCATGGTTTTAAAAAAGAAGGATATTTAGCAAAAAGCAAGCATATTTAGCAGCCTCAATGTTTTGTTTGGAGATTTTCATTTCTGAATACAAGAAACTTGCTCTTACAAGCATCTAAAAGTGATGGAAATTTTCTGGAACAGAACATGAAAGTCTAAAGTTGGACAGAAACAGGTCTGCTAATCTCTTCTTGCTTTCTGAAGTGATAATCTTTTCATTTAAACAATGTTTTTGGGAGACCATGCACAGGCTCCATTGTGAGTGTGTTCACGTACAGGACACTTATCTTATGAATAGGTAACATCTACACCTATATACTGTAATTCATACAAAAAGAAACAGAAATGGAAGAGGAACTATTGAATCTATGAAGCTGAATTTCTTCATAATGGATATATCTTTAGCCCTTCTCCACGAAAATCTGTGATGTGGTTGATATATATTTTAAAGACAAAGTGAAAAAAATAATAATTACACATTATTGAAAAGATAAAAGATCCAACTGGCACACAAATACACTTTTGTCTACAAACATTTCACCAAGAATGGATTTCTTATGCAAATGAAAGTGGAAACATGCAACCTGCCAACATTTCACTGGTTATAAATAGCTTCTACTATTCTACTAGGGCTACTTTTCTGTACTGCCCAGCAACTCCCAAAGACAACGACTGAATCCAAAGTGGGAAGGGTTTATGAGCCAGTAGTCTTTTAAACTACCTTCTAAAAATAGAAACGAGAATCTTTCTTACTTTCTTTTATGTTTTACATTTTTAAGCTACATTGATCCAATGGAGATTAACAGAAGATTTTATGTTCTAAGAAGCTGGATAGGAATTATTTGTTTTAAAAAGCAATGAATAAAATCTTCTTACCTGTCAGTTTCTGATCGTCTTATACATAAGATCTGATCTTGTTTGCTAGGCACATTTTCTCATTAATCACTGATTTTATTTATATGAAATATTTGCTTTGTCCCCTATACAGGAATAAAGGTTTTGTGGCTAAATAACATTCTTCGCTTCCAACATGACAAAATTTAAGCAGGACATAATCTCTCTCTCTCTCTCTCTCTCTCACACACACACACACAAACACAGACACACACACACACACGAACGCATGCATGTGCGCACACCATGGCTGATGATCCATCTGGTCATTTCTCCTACAATATGAATGTAACATCAAAACCAATTTCTTAATTATTTTGAGTTCTAGTTCTCTTCTTCACCAGAGACTGTATGTTCTGTAGCATATCCAAGTGAACTATCAAAAGATGATTTGTGAAATGTGGGGTGTACGTGTAGAAAGAACTATTTAAACAGACCAAAAATTAGCATATAAAGCTTGATTTACTACCTCAGCATGTTTTGGTACTGATTATTCAATTTAAGGAAAGATGTGTAAGTGGTTCAAATATGAAGCCAAAGGGAGGTTTCAGATTGTTTGTGTAGATGCATGATTCATCTGCTCCTCCTCCTATGTCTGTTCTAGGCTCATACAGAAGGTGAATTATCTATGGGATATATGTGTAAGAGTGAAAGAGATGCAAACAAGTTGTTTTGAAGCAAGCGTGAGCATGCTATCAGTGCCTCCTTAACTCAAATGTCTAGTTTACTTGGTTTGTGTGGCTATCATGCAAGTTCAGGAAAAGGAGCATTTAAGAAGAATCTGATAAGTATGGCATAGGCACCCACCCTTGTTCTGAAATGCACATCTGGGTTTGGATCTAAAATGCCACATTTTGTTTCCTTAAACTTCTGCATATATAATCCATTTGGTCTAGCTCAGGCCTATGCGACTTGGAGAGGGATAAGGGCCACATTGATAAATTAAAAACAACATCAGGGCACAAAGAAAAGCAAGCAATAGCACTTAGACTTCTATACCACTTCACAGTGCTTTACAGCCCTCTCTAAATGGTTTACAGAGTCAGCATATTGCCCCCAACAATCTGGGTCCTCATTTTACCAAACTCAGAAGGCTGGAAGGCTGAGTCAACCTTGAGCGGGTCAGGATCGAACTGCTGGCAGTTGGCAGAATTAGCCTGCAATACTGGATTCTAATAGCAATGGAGCTGCTGGTGTTGATAAAGCCTGAAGGAACTGGAGGATCTTGGCAGCCAATTTTTGGGGATGGCAGCAGTAGATCTTTCCTGGTGACAGCAGTAGATCGTTCCTGGTTCCTTCACCAGCAGTGGATGTGCTGAGCTTTTAAAAAAATGCCAGCAAGGCTGCATGGTATTCACATGGGGCCCATAGGCTTTTGGTTGTGGAGGCCTGGTCTAGATGCTCTTGCTGTTTCTGAAAATCCACAGTAGTTGGTAATTTGGGAAGAAGTAACTATGTCTCCTAACCAGTAATTCATTTTTAAAGAAACTGATGAAATCAAAGTTACATATACACCTCCTATGGCATAATAAGTTAAAATGCCTTGTTCAGTAATCCAGTGGAGGGTCACTTTGGAGAACATAAAATTAGTTTCCTATGATCTTAAAATGAAGCTAATACATCAAAACATTTTATTTCATGTATATTAGACACCTTAGTAAATGTTTAATAAGGGATGGTTACAATCATCTTGCCGCTGGAGGTGCAACTCAGGAGTTCAAACATTAACTCACATGGTTTGGACCTACAGTATGTTAAATATGCAAATCTTCTTCTTGGCTGTATTTCTAAGCTTTGGAATCTATCTAGAAAAAGCTGAAGATTTCTCGGGACCTGCAGTTAATAAAAAGAATGATCATACATCAACAAAAGGAGAATTATACAACTGATTTGCAGCAACGAGTTGGGAATATGTAAAGCTGCC